TTGATTTATGTTGTTTAAAGAAGAAATACTCGAAATATACTTCCCCGTTTTATAATATACACACTAGCTCTTACCCGCGATTTCGTCTGCGTGGCTGGGATGTGTTTCTGGATCAGGCTAAAAAGTAGTCTATATTCTTCTCCATTTCATATAGTAGAATTGCTAAGAATGCGGCGTTTTTTGCAGCTTCCATGTTTTGATTCAATTCTATTGTTTAGAGTAACACCGATCATCTAAACTAATCAGGATTCAATAATTTTTAACAATTATATTGAAACTTATTGTTGTTTACCAGAAATATATATTTTTTATTCAATTATAATATATAATAGTTTGTCCGTCTCCATGTATGCTTAAATATTTAAAACTACGTAACGGATTTTGAAGCGGTTTTTTTTAAATAGATGGAGTGATTCAAGAAAAGTGTTTATATGTATAATACATGCATAATATTGTAGAGAAACACTGATAAATTTAGAGGTTTCTAATGTGATGTTGTAAATAAACACATTTTTTGCACTTACATTGCAAACACTGGTTGAACGCCACGAGATAAATCAAAATAATGTACGTTTTTAAGATGTACAATATTGTACATTGTACACCTTAAAAAGGTCAATAAAAATGGTATATATCTGTCTCTTAAGGATAACCCATAATAACGATTTTTAATCCTTTACATTTTACGAGAAAAAATGGTTTATTTACGAAGTGATTATAAGCAATACAGCATTAATTTTTATCCAATTAAGTACCTTAAATACATTGTCCATTTAATGTAGATTAATATGGCTCTTTATAGCATTTAATTTAAATGAATATTTCCGAAGATATTACAGATTTCAAATGCAGGGACATAGGGATGCGTCGGTACCGGACCGGTTGGCGGCGCGTGCCTTTAAATAGCACGTAGAAGGCGTATTTACATTCTGTAGTAGGTAAATATATTAAGTATTAGCATCGCACCCGTGCGAAGCCGGAACGGGTCGCTAGTGTCGTATAAGATTATACGATATGGACGATTTTTAAAGAGCGTAGTAGAAGGAAAAATAGAGAGCAAAAGAGGAAGAGGAAGACCGAGGAATAAGTACATGGGACAGATAAAAAAAAACACTAGGTGTCATGTCGGGACGCTATGCTATGCTATTACAACAAACATACAAAATGTTGCACAAGAATTCTAAAATTACTGGCTTCTGGCTTCCATTGCTCTTATGAAAACACGTAACATTTTTTCCTAAATACCTTCCATGTATAGAGATCGTCTATTTATAAATTTTACTATATTACTAAAAATAAAAAAAAGTTATAAGAGACATTGGCAAACTGGAAGCTCGTCTCACGCCCTCAAGCAATACTTTATCCCCAACACTAATGGATTGTAACATTTGTTAGAAGGACAAAGGTAGCTAGCTTCTTTTAGGTATTTTAGTTTTTTTTTTTTTTTAATTAATATCGAAGTAGGCGAGTACGTTTTCAGATAAAGAATATAAAAGCTATTATCGAGGATTCAATACCTCGATAACATAATAGTAAAGACCGCAGAAGATTTTTTTCTTCAGACACTTGTCTTAAAAAATTTTATTTCACAAAATGAAAATAGCTATAACAATTGTGGCAGTGTGAATACTGATTTAATAATGTTTCACTAATTGGGAGACTTTGTAAAAAATTCATCTGGGCACCTCTGTCCCATTTGTGTTTCCTTTATATAGTGATTGTGCGTGCATGGGTTTTTTTTTGATGGGTGAAAATGCTATGGTAACCCCGCCCGCTCTAACGGGATACGCTGGCGGAGCACCAGTGAAGGGTGATAGATGAGAATGAAAACAGGCCAGTTAGCCCATCATGATGAATTCATCAGGAATTAACCATGGTAGTTTCCAGGGGGAACCGCGAGGACGTCGACCTGGTTTGGGTATATTGCTAGCAATGGGATTCTCAGTCTCCCTTACTAACAATCCCTTTCCCCCCTGCGTGCATGGGTTGTGTTTCGATTTGAAGGGTGTGAATTATAGTAGTAGAATAACAACAGGGTATTGAGATATAATCTTATTATATATATATAATAATGAGTAGGGATAATTTTTATATTATTATATGTATTGATTTGACAGTAACATTTCTTTCTTTTTTATTATTGACAAGTGTCTGACATTTTTGAAGTATTTTTTTTTATATAACATTTCGAATTTTAATGACTTATTTAACATTTATTCTCTTTAAGTTTTAATATTTGCATGCCGAATTATGGCGAAATATGAGGACTTATACTTATTGTAACATCTATATTATTATATGTATTACATCTCCCATATCTAGAACTAACAAAATTTTTTATCATGCCTCCTACCAAATTGTTTATAATTACTCCTCTCCATCCAAAGGTTGCCTGGAAGAGATTGCTGTTAGCGATAAGGTCGCCCATTGTTTTCTCATTGTGATTATTTCTTGTAATTATTTATATTTATAATAAGTTTACTATTGTAATCTTTTGGAGGAAACAATAAAGAGTATCTATCTATCTATTACTTAAAATCGAATGAGCCATCCATTCCTTTTCCGTAGTTGTCGTAAGAGACGATTAAGGGAGCTTAATGACCGAGAGACAGTCAGCAGCGTTCCTCTTAAAGAATTACCAGAGCCTATCTGCGGTTGCCAAAACATTATCAAGCGTAGCAACTACTAGCAAAACCCGCCTTATGGGGGAGGTCTATGTTCAGCAGGGGGCAGTTGAAGCCTGATATGATGATGATGAGTCAGAATACGCTATCGATATACTCCAGCGAGGCACCAGTTAGGAATGATATGTGAGGACGAAGATCAGTTCAGTTAGCCCATCGTGCTGAATATATAAAGGGAAATACGATGGTTTCCAGAAGACCTGATAGGGCGTATTGCTAGCAATGGGGCCGCTAGTCCCCATTACTGACAATCTATCTTCTCTCCAATAGATGGGTCATTAGTTTGTTGTTAAATTATTCGTAATTTTTTTTTAAATTAAACACAATTTATTGGGGGGAAAGGGATTGTTAGTAATGGAGACTGAGAATCCCATTGCTAGCAATATACCCAACCAGGTCGACCTCGTCGCGGTTCTCCCTGGAAACTATTATGGTTAATTCCTGATGAATTCATCATGATGGACTAACTGGCCTGTTTTCATTCTCATCTATCACCCTTCACTGGTGCTCCGCCAGCGTATCCCGTTAGTGCAGGCGGGGTTACCGTTCCATTTTCACCCATCAAAAAAAAACACAATTTATTGCAGATAGAACCGTTTATCTATGCAACTGAACTGCATCTAAGTGACTTTTTGACACCGATTTCAAAATACTTTATTTAGATAGATAGATAGATAATTTATTTGTATTACTTACAGCACACAAATTACAATACAAACATACATATAATACAGTCACGGCCACTTTCTACCATCGAACGGCACGCCATCGACAGGGAGTTCATCCTCATGTCCTACAGCCTCAATGGTCGCGTACAGCGCGGTCTCAGAGATGTTTCCTCCCACGAACACTCAGATTATGGAATGAGCTCCGTGCCGAGGTTTTTCCAAGAGCCTACAGCATGGAGTTCTTCAAAAGGGGAGTAAAGAGGTTTCTTCAGGGTCGACAACGCAAGCGTGATACCTCTGATATTACAGGTGTTCATAGGCTACGGTAACCACTTACCATCAGGTGGACCGTATGCTTGTTTGCCACCTCAGTGGTATAAAAAAAGACATACACGGTAAAAGAGATAAAAGAATGAAAAACAAAAAAAAAATAAAACAAAATGCAAAATAGTTATACAAAATGGTCACAATTCAGTTTATTGCTTTGCCCTCAAAAGAGCAAAACTGATATACTGTTGTGGCCAAGAGTCAGTCTCAAAATTCCTTAATAAAAATAATAACAAAAAAGAAATATAAATAAAATGCATTGTGTGTGTCCATTATATTTGCCTCCATTTGACATTCTATTCTAAATAAATAAATAAATTATAGATACCATTAGATGAGGGGTACTCTGTATTTGTTTATTTATTAATAATAATTTTAAAATAACATAATGATAAATGACACGGACCCAAATTTTATAATATCGAATTGATTTGTTACGAAGTTTCAACGACTACCTTCATCACATCAGCTTATTGTCAGCATAGTCAATAAAACTGTCATCCGAATTAAATCCATACTAAAACTATAAAATTATGCGAAAGGATTTTATTTTATTTACGTAATATTAAGGATAATTACTTATTATATTCTATAATAATCTATTATTATAATTATGATAATAAATTTGAAAGACAAATAAAAATAATAATAATCTTTATTATTACAGGTTATAAGGTCTAATTTGTTAGTAACATAATCATAGTCCATTTATAAATAAATTAATAGCCTAGTTATTGTACATCTTGCAATAAAATAAGTAAATAAAAGAAAAAAATAATAAACAAATTTGGTCACCTCTGAAGGATCTCAATTATATAATAAATATATTCTTATATAATAAATATATTCTGATAACTATATAAAAAATGAGTTTTTGCTTGTTATTTCTTAGCGCCTTAACAGCTTAGCAAATCGTCATGGAATTAAGTATACACACGTACTATACGTAATGGTGAAAGACATAGACTACTGTTATATTTATCCCGGTCAATCACGCGAACGAAGACGCAGGTAAAAGCTAGTAGGTGCATAAAATCTCAACTCGTTCAGTTTTCAACAAATGCCAGAGAAATCGGTTCGATTTTAACTAGAAAAATATACAAACGGAACAAGTTACGAATATGTAGAAAAAAAAACATTATACGCCCATTAATTTTCCTCATGAAGATGTGTGATCAATTATCACACACTAAACAATAATTACCTATAATTAATTGATATTAGGCACGACTTACTTTTCTTTTCCATCGATTCTAGCTATAGAGTTAGAGGTTTGGCTGCCGTCAGTATAAATTCGGCACCCGCGCCTAATACACTCGCGCGGCGAGTGAATGTTAGAAGAAAAAAAATTGGCGGTAAATTTGACATTGACAATTTTTTTTTAATTAGACATAAACACTAAAGAACTGTCTCATACGTTTAATAATTTTATATACTTTTTGTGATTTATTTGACGTTATAGTAAAAAATAAAAAGTGTTTTATCGTGTTCGTGCTTACAAGTGACGTTATGTTTGGTAAGTTGGACAATCTTACTTAATTTTCTTGGATATAAGTAAATGTTTATTTTTTAATTATTTTTCTTTTAATAAAAGTAATTTTTGTGAACAAAATATGTCATACTATAATATTTAATACAACGAAATTTCGATTTCAAATTATTTGAGATTACATTTTTTGCATTATATATAATTATCTAGTTTATACCGATTTAATTATTAAAATGTTTTAAAAAAAGCAGTAATTACTATAATAAAATAAATATGGGATCCATAAGAGCGTAAACTTATAAATTTCAAAAGCAATTCTCAAAATCGAGAATCGAAAAAACCTCTCGCAGTTGAAGTCGTTTAAAAATAACGCTGACATACTATTAACTATATTCAATGCTATTGAAGATTTACATTTTATTTACTTCTTCATATATTTTAACTATTGAATACCAACTTTATCAGTATAAAGTAGACACACGCGCTGTAATAAACTCGCGAAAAATAAAACAATAAAATTGGCGGTAAAACGACATTTACGGTTTTTTTTTTATTTATCACAAACATAGCATAGACTAGAAAATATACAGCTAAGTGAATTTATATAGATTTTTAGTTGCAAAATAGGTAATAACTTTAAGTTTTGTTGCACATTATATTCTGTTTAGTAGTATACCTGTAGTGAATGTAATGAAACGTCTCGAGTGTGAACAACAACTACTTTATTACTGTAGTACCCACATATATATTTATTTTATAATTACCCACGACATCTCCCCCCAAATTATATAAAACAAACAATGTAATCAAGTTCTAAAGAATATAACAAAAGGGTACACTCTATCTCCTTAAATATACTGTATTATATATGAATTGTACAATACTTCTTATATACTATATTAAGTAACCTATCACCTTATTTACCCATTATAAAAAAAAAAAACAAAAAAAATGAAATAGAAATAAAAAATAGAAACATTTATGTATATATATAATATATAAAAAGTATTTTATAATAATAAGTATTTTATTTTTACAATTTTTTCCGTAGGCGTTGAATAGCCACTGCTTTAGCTTTGCGGATGAGCTGTTCACTATTAAGATTCGAAGCCTCATCACTGCTAGTACATGAATACTCACACGCATCGTTAAATTGTTCGTCTTTACCATGGTCACTATGCATTGCTTGTGGATCACTTTCACACCTAATCAAGTGACGGCGATTTCGCCTATACCTGGCACCGACACTATTTTTGACAATGTAAGAACGAGGAGTGTCAGCGCGCCCCACTATCTTTCCTCTGCTCCTAATCTTTCCATCTATACAGATTACTGAGTCACCTTCTCTTAACATAGGAAGAGTTTTACTGTGCTGATCATAGTACATTTTATTGTTATTTTGTTTATGTAACATAGTTTGGTACTCAGAAGGATCGACAGGTTTTGGTTTTAACAGATTTTCATGTACTGGCAATTGACAACGCAACCTGCGACCCATCAGCAACTGCGCAGGAGAACTCAACCCATCCCTAGGTGTATTTCTATAGTTAAGAAGAGCTAAATCAAAATCTCCGTTACTTTTAATAGATTTCTTTAAAATCATTTTAATAGTATATTCGCCTGCGGGTAATTCGGCGAGGACGTCACATGGTTGAAACCCCACACATTAGCAAAATTTTTGAACTCTCGGCTAGTGTATTGAGTCCCGTTATCACTTATCAGTACCTTGGGTATGCCATGACGTGAAAAAATATTTTTTATGTTTTGAATGACTAAGTTAGAAGTTAAATTATTTAATTTACATACCTCTATATAATTAGAATAATAATCAACAATAATTAGGAAATATTTACGATTAAATTCAAATATATCTGAGCCGACCTTTTCCCACGGCAGAGCTGGAATCTCCATAGGAAGCAATGGCTCCTTAGCAGGTCTGTTTGAGTGCTCCTGACAGGTGTGACATCGCTTTACAAACTGCTCTATGTCACGTGACATACTCGGCCAAAACATTACTTGCCTCGCGCGCCGCTTGCACCGATCTATACCTAGATGCCCTTCATGAACTATTTTTAACATTTCTTCTCTTAATTCTTTAGGTATAAGTACCTGATCCTGTTTAAATATAACATTATCGACTATCAAAAGCTCATCTTTTATCGACCAATATAACTTTGCTTCATTTGCAACGTTATATTTGTGCTTAGGCCATCCGTAATTTATATAATTTAATAATATATTAAGTTCATGATCAACAACACCAGAGGATGTACCCATTGAGTTGGATGATTCACCTTCCTGATGACCCCTAAATCTACCATTTTATTAAGCTCCTGTGCTAAGCGATCGCGTAACCCATGAGGAATTTTCCTCGACGCACATATGACAGGTGGAACCGAGCTATCAGTTACTATGTGATACTTTCCGGGCAAACACCCTAAACCTTTAAATAAGTCATTATAGTTGGATAGTTCAATAGACATTATACGCTTGATTAGCCCTAACTCCTCGCAAGAGTTCCGTCCCAGCACGCTGCTACATTCTATGTCCGCTACAGCAAATTTGAGATTATAAATAATATTTTTATAATACCAAGGTATAGTACAGATTCCTTTTAATGGAATCGTGTCATGCGTGTATGATAATAAAGATATATTCTTTTTTACAATTATGTTCGGATCGAAACCTAATTTTAAAAATGTACTATAGGATATTATGTTACAATCGGCCCCCGAGTCCAATTTAAAATTTTCATGTCCATTTTCGCACGTTAATATTTGAAACCATATATATATATATATCATTTTCCGGTTCACTACTCACAACATCACATTCCACTCCATATACTCGCCCGGCCCGAGCGCGGCCGGCGTTATGAAAAAAATTATTTGACTTACACATGCGCGCGAAGTGTCCATGATTACCGCAAACGTAACAGCTGACTCGTTGCGCGGGGCACTCGCTGTCGCTGCACCGCGCAGAGCCACAAGCGCGGCACGGAGACCGCGCGGCCCGCGGCGCAAGCGCATCCGCGGCCGGCCCCCTGCGGTTGATTCCGCGCGCCGCGCCGCTCGCCGCCCGCCGCGGCCAGCCGCGCGCCGCCGATCGCCCGCGACCGCGCGCCGACACCGCGTCCACGCGCGCCGTGTCACCACTCGACCCTATCTGACGGCAGCTCTCCTGGGACACCTCCTCCGCTTGGCAAATTTTTATGACCTTATCTAGGTTGAGGTCATCGCATCGCAACAGTCTGTCCCTGACAGTGGAATGTCGAATTCCACAGACGATTCTATCCCTGATCAACTCCTCTTCCAGGGTGGTGAACTCACATGTTTTGCTCAGAAGACGCAGGGCGGTGACGTATTGTTGTATAGATTCCCCTTCATCTTGGTTACGCGTAAAAAACTTGTATCTCATTAACGTTACATTCGGCTTTGTTCCAAAATAATTATCAAACTTTTTCATCAATACCGCGACGTCATCGCGCTCACTGTCTTCGTCGAATGTGAACGTTTGATATACATCGAAGCCATCCGGGCCGATTAGATTTACCATTAGACTAGCTTGGACACTCGAGCGCTCAGGCTACACCAGAAGCCTTCAAAAATAACATGAATTGTTGTTTCCATTTTTTCCAAGCGTCGGCCCGGCTTACGGGGCCGCCGTCCATATTTAATTCTGCAGGCGGACGCGCGTGCTCCATTATTACACTTTATACTGCACCACACCAACACAATGACACAATTATATTTCTAATACTATTATATAATGTTATACACTGATTTATAACAATTTTAAACACGTTAAGGATTCGTAATCTTTTATACCGCTGTCACCATGTAGTGAATGTAATGAAACGTCTCGAGTGTGAACAACAACTACTTTATTACTGTAGTACCCACATATATATTTATTTTATAATTACCCACGACAATACCTATTTATATTTGTTAAGTCGAATTATAATAACATATTAATGCTGTTGTCTATCATAAATATTTATTTTATTATTATTCCAATAAAATCAATCTATAAACCGCCATTACATTTCTCTACTTAGCGTAAGGGTTGACTGGTAGATAATGGCATCAGTCCACCCAATATACATATTTTAATCTGTGCAAAAAAAATTAAAAATAATGAATTGCGTATGTACTCTTTACACAACTATCTAAAAAAGAGTGTAATGTTTATAAGATACATGTATATGAGTTTCTTTGTTCCACCACTACTTCTAAATGGCTGAATACCCTACATACCCTATCAGGTCTACCTCCACGTGGTCCCCTTGGAAACCATCGTATTGAAATCAATGAAATCAAGATTCATTACAATAGGCTAACTAACCAGAGGGAGACTGTACAAAAGTCGATTGCTTGAGTACCTCTGTCACATTCGTGTTTCTACCGTGAAGCAGTTGTGTTTGCATGGCTGTGTTTCGGTTTGAAGGGTGGGGTATGGCCTGAATTTACAGGGTACAGAGGAATAATATCTGAGTCCTCAGGAATGGCAATGCATGGAGGGTATCATGGGCGAAACAGTATACTCTGTTATGTTCATGGTACTGCTCATGTCTACAGGCGACGGTTACCGCTTTCCATCAAGTGGGCCGTCAGATTTTTTACCATTCCAAGTTGTATAAAAAAACCTACATTTTCATTCTCACCTATCATCCCTCACTGGTGCCCCGCCAGCGTATACCAACAGCGCAGGCGGGGTTACCATTACATTATCATCCATTTAAAAAAAGTACAACTTAAAATAGTAAACAATTTGTCGGCCCACCTGATGGAAAGTGGTAATCTTTACCTATAGATATTAAATAGTATCATGGATATAACAGAGTAGAAGTATTACCATATTCATAGCATCCGGATAGAAGTGCCTAAGTAGCCGAGTTTTTTACAACAAAGTCTAACTCTGGCAAGTTGGTCAGAGGTGGCCGAAAAACTTATTTTTAGGGATCATATTTTATACGTTATTATCATACAAGATACCTTTATTATGTAGATGGGGTATTGAGCAAGAAATTTATTTTGGCTGGATAGAGTTCAGTCGGCCAAACTTTATCTTAGCTAATTAAAGTATCTCTGTAATTCTCATGTATGCAAACTTCGCATTAACAACTCTCTTGCTCTCTCTATTCCATTCCGTCGTTTAGCTTTTCTTTCTAATTTCTTTGCTCTTGAAGCTTCACGACTCTAGAATCCGCCACTATTTGACAAGTTTCTAACATTTTTTTTTTAAAAGTCTACAAATCTCTTATGAAGAAGCTGTTAAAACGGTTTGTCTCTTCACCATTATCACCTTTGATCTCAATTGTTGATTTAATGGTATCATAGTATATTATCGTATATGTATGTATATTTATATTTCAGTAGTTTTTGCGTGAAAGAGTGACAAACACCTATCCATTTTCACGAAACTTTCGCATTTATATAGTACTAGCGACATGCCCCCCCCTCCCCGGCTTGGCACGGGTGCACATTACATCACATCACATTAGAAACCTCTAAAGTTATCATGGTTTCTTTACTATATTATGCATGTATTATACATATAAACCTTCCTCTTGAATCACTGTATCTATTAAAAAAACCGCTTCAAAATCCGTTGCGTAGTTTTAAAGATTTAAGCATACATAGGGACGGACAGACAGCGATAGCAACTTTGTTTTATACTATGTAGTGATAGTTTTTTTTTTTATACAACTTAGAATGGCAAACAAGCTGACGGCGCACCTGATGGAAAGTGGTAACCGTCGCCTATAGACATGAGCAGTACCATGAACATAACAGAGTATACTGTTTCGCCCATGATATTCCCCATGCGTTGCTATTCCTGAGGATCAGGTGTTATTCCTCTGTACCCAGTAAATTTACGCCATCTCACCCTTCAAACCGAAACACAGCCATGCAAACACAGCTGTTTCACGGTTGAAACACGAATGGGACAGAGGTACCCAAGCGATCGACTTTCGTTCAGTCTCCCTCTGGTAAGTGATAAACAGTAATCATGATTTCAAATCAAGGGAGCCATCAACTTATTTGCTATTTGAAGTCATTCAAAGAGAGCATGTTTTATACTGTGGCACCAGTTTCACGCGACAAAAACTTAGTTATTGTTAATGAAATCTACATAATTGTGATATATTATGAATACATAGGCCCTTTCATTAGTAGCATCAAAGAGTTTCGCTATTTTCATGTCACGTTTACATTAATTGGATACATGACATTATGTTTGGTGAAACTGAATTGATTATCATCCTTCAGAAAGTAGCAACAATATTTTCAAACGTCGTAATTTGTAAAAGAAGAGCGTGTTCCTTTTTAGAAGGCTGGCAACACGTCTGCAATTATTCCGGTATTGAGAATGCTCATTTATTTATTTATAAAAGACACACCAACAATATGCTCACAATAATTAAGTAGACAATATACAATGTTATTAGTAAGTAAAAGAGAAAAACTACTATTCAAAAATGCTTAAATCTAAGTTTGAACAAGAAATCTTACTCCTCCACTACCAAGCTTAAGGCCATATGAACACATTAATTAAAGGTGTATACAGCTCTTACAGATAAGCGTCAATGCCTCATAAGCAACAATAATATATATATATATATATATATATATATATATATATATATATATATATATATATATATATATATATATATATATATATATATATATATATATATATATATATATATATATATATATTGTTATAGTGCATAATATGGTTTTATCCATATTACAAAAAGATTTGGTTTTTAGTTTTACGACCTGCCACCTGCCTGACGTATATATGTATGTATATATAAAAAAGAAAGTGTCCTACCACAAATTTTTTTTTTTCCTAAAGAAACAAAAGTCAAAATGAAACTAACAATTTTTAAGACAAACAAAACTACCATACAACCTTAAATTTCTTAAGTGCGTGGCATACTTCTATTGCCCGTGCATTTCATTCATATCTACCTCGTATATTTAGGTTATGGAATGAGCTCCTGTCTTCAGTTTTACAATATAATATGGGACATTTTAAAATACATACCTACAAATATTTAAAAGGCCAGCAACGCACAAGCAACTCCTATAATGTTGCAAGTGTTCATGAGCGACGGTAGATGCTTTCCATCAGGTGGGCATTCCACTCGTTTGCCTCCCTAACAATAAAAAAAATCCACGTCTAGCTGTCAACTTATTAAGAGAATATAAAACTTATTTTGTCATATTTCAAACCATGTTTCTTTAAGGAAAAAGGAAAAAGAATGGCACCCATAAAAGGATGGTAACATTTTCGATTTCACCCTGTCGTGAACACGAATCTGTTTTGATGATGGTATGGGAGTAACACCATGTGTTATAAAAGTAAACATTTACACGTGGATCCGCCGTCGAAATTAAGCTAATGAAGAAACTAGTTTCAGTCAGCTATCTTTGTAATGTAAATTAGACTTCAGTAATAAAGTGACGACTGGCCACTGAAATTGACATTTTTTTTTACCTGAAAGATTTTAATTTAATTTTTTTTTTTAATTACACAGATTTTTAATTACAGTCTACATTGAGAACTAATGAGGTATCTCATTTGAACTTTATTAAACCACTTTAAATAATAATAAAATCTCTTTGAAAATGTATCAATTACGTACATTCTCCTCGACGTTATTAAGAAGTTAAAAATCAAAATGATTTTTCCTTAATAAAGCAAGATTTTCATCTTATGTCTTTTAAGTATGCCAGAGGAAACTTTATAAAAAAAGTCCTCTGCTTGGATACTTATGTTACCATCGTAGTTCTGATTACATTGTTGTATTTGAGTTTAATAACATAAATTAAGTTTATTTTTCACAAAGAAATCTGCTTCAAATGTGGCAAAAATCTGTTATTTTGATTTAAAAACTAATTAAAATTAATGATAAAATTTACATAAAACTAATCTGAAAGTATAACCTTTCAGGTAAAAAGAAAATTTTCCAAATCGAAAGGCCGCCCCTTCCATTCCTGTGGGTGTCGTAGGAGGCGATTAAGGGTACTTAACGGTCGAGAGATGGCAGCAGCGTCCCTCTTAAGGGATCACCAAAGCCTAACTGCGGTTGCCAACAGGCCTGCAAAGCGTGGCAACTACTGGCAAATCCCCCTTATGGGGAGAGCACTGGACAGTTACCGACTGATAAGATATGATGACGCTGTATTAGTTTTTTAACCAACTTAAATAAAAGGAGGTTCTCAACTCGATTGTATTTTGTTACATTTGTTACGTTATAACTCCATCAGTTTGTCAAAGTCAATTTATAATTTTTATTTTCTGAAAAGATACAGGGTACAGAGGAATAATACCTGAGTTCTCAGGAATGGCAACGTATGGGGGGTATCATGGGCGAAACAGTATACTCTGTTATGTACATGGTACTGCTCATGTCTATAGGCGACGGTTACCACTTTCCATCAGGTGGGCCGTTAGCTTGTTTGTCATTCTAAGTTGTATAAAAAAAAGATACATTTACAAATTGGTCCCATGGCAATTTCATCAAAATCGCCTTA